GTATTACACACTGGTATTACACAGTCGACACACATGGGCGGAGATCAGATATTAAACTTACATTATTTTATTAAAATATATGTTTTTACTTGTAGGAAATGAAAATCCATCCGAAAGCGGTAAAAGGTGATAAGGATCAAGTTGGAGCGCCAATGCCGGGCACTGTTCTCAGTAAGTACTTTATTTATACATATTATTTCGTTAACAATAAAATTACTTACCCTTGTTAAAAACGAGAAAAAAACAATCTTTTTATAACCAGACCAGAACTATAAACCCTGACCATATTTAGGAAAAATGTGGAACTAATACACATTAGAAGGATATGTAATAAAAATCCGACTGAAACGCTCCCAAGCAATATTGTTATATTCTTATTGCCCACTCCATTTACTTAGAATTTAAAAAAAACATAAGTAGCTAAGTGTTCCAGACTCTTCCACACCTATGCCTTTCATCAAGGTCCATTTAGCAGTTTGGGCATCAACCTCTAACTTCTATGCATCTTAACTTTTACATCTATACTAATATTATAAAGCATAAACACACACTACTTTGTGGCATAGGATGTCGGCAATCACAGCATATTTTTGAATAATTCTTTCTTTAATAAAAAGCCCTACACTTAGGATATGCTTTAGGATATTTATTTTTATGCTATTAAACTTAGGGGATGAATAAATTAGAAAAAATCTTTATTTTGGAAAGGGACCGTAAAGTACAAGCTGCCAACATCAAGGAAGCAAGGTTGCCATGTTTTGTCATTTTGTCATGTTATTTTGACATTTGCAATTGATAATATGACATATGTAAAAAATAAAATAAAATTTCCATAATTTCAAGCTAGTTTATAATATTAGTAATCTTCCTATGGAAATCTATACATCTATACCAGTTGTAGAAATACCATTATTCCATTTTTATTTATTAACCGGCTTCAAAAGAAGTAATGCATTCTTTTATATACTTTTTTATTATTTTCTCTAGCTATCAAAGTAAAGGAGGGAGATAAAGTGGAGAAAGGCCAGCCTATAGCTGTACTCTCCGCTATGAAGATGGAGATGATAGTACAAGCGCCCAGAGCCGGTACTATCAAAACTATATCCATTACTAACGGACAGAAGTTGGAGGGAGACGATCTGATCTGCACCATTGAATAGGTATTTATAGTCGAGGAATAAATTACCTTCCCACTTACTGAAAATACAGCATGTCTTTTCAAATATCTTGACGGTTCTAGAATCTTGTTAAGAAAAAGATATTTGACTGTATAGTTTTGAATTTGGTTTTCGATTTTTCTGATTGATGTTTGTCTGTAATGGGTAGGAAATACATGTCCTCGACTGCATTTTGTTATCTTTTTTGTTTTTTTTTTAATATGGCTCAGTAAACGCACAAAGGTTTCAAATAGCTGTGATAAATGTTGTTTCCTTTGGTTTTAATGCAATTGTTTTGAATCGAGACTAAAAATATGATTTCTTATATATAAATATCACATTAAACCAGTTTTTAATATTCAAAATGACGTCATATTTTGAGGTTAGGATTTTTTTTCATGTTTGGCGAGAATACTTACATATTTATTTCGGTAAACAGTGTATTGTAGGACTAAAACATTTTTCACATAAATGATGATTCTGTTGAAAACAACGTCCGTATTCTTTTAAGATATATATTTTTTTTTATTTGGCGTCCTATATATAAAATTGACATTATAGTTGAAATTATTTAAAAAACTTGTTTATTTGAGTTAAACTCAATATGATGAAATATTACGAATTGTTTTTATTATTTATGTAATACCTGGATGAAACTGTGATATGATCACCACATTAGAAAAAAAATGTACAAAAAACATCCGTTTTTTCCCTATTTTTTTGCCATAAAAAATATTTCTATAAACAGAGACTGATTGAGATGGAGAATTTGTCGAAATTAATAAATCTAAATTTAATTTTTTAATTAGGTTTTTTGTTAAAAGTTTGTATGGGAAATAAAAGACAAGAAAGCGTAAGTGAAAATAAATTAAAAATGACGCTCGCATAATTCTAAGTGCATCCACAATTATTATTAAACATGTATAGCATTAAGGACATTTTTTATTTGTTAAATTAATATTTTTCTAAAATATACATTTTTTAAAATCGATAATTTTAAAAAATCCAATGATTCAAACGTGGATATACTTAGAAAACTAGTTTCTTTTTTCAGGTGCTTACTGTTTTTATATTTCATTGTTATTTTTTTATGTTTGTATGATCAAAAATAAATTAATTATCACAATTGTTTTTTTTTTTTTACAATTAAAAAAACGAACACATTTTTCCCTACACTTTATTCTTAATGTTTTGGTTAGTGGTTAAAAACTGTTTATTATTTGCAATAAAAATACTTTTTGTAGTAATAATGGTTTATTTATATACAATTACATATTTCATTCTACCTATACCTTTTGTAAGGATTTTTTGCTTTAATAAATTTTTAACTGAATTATTCTTATTGAAATGTAATTTTTATATGTTCAGTATATTTAAGACTTCCTGTTTTTAAGAATTTTTACATCTTTAATTCAACATTGAAAAATTATGTAACAAAATTTAGCATTTGATAAATACAATTTTAAACTCTGATATTAACAGCAATTAGCTACATAAATATAATCCAATGTAATGCAATGAATATTTATGTATTTACTAATTAAATTATTATAGACAATAGAACATATTGTAAACAATGGTATAAAATTTTGACTAAAATTTGGCCCAAAACTGCAAGTATATAAGGAAGATACATCATTCGGAAATTTTTACAACTATATTCACTAGTTTTAGAAGTATACTTCAGACTTTTAAAACATAGAACATTAAGACCACAAAAAGTCAAGTTACAAAACATGATTATATACAAAACCATCTCACTATCAAATATTTACGGCCGAATAGTAAAACGACATTTACATATGTAATATGGTCTTATAAGGCTACCACTGACCTCTATAAATGGATAGCCTATAAGACGCGGTAATTTGTACATAATTGAACTAATATTAGAGACACAATTAACTGTTAACAATTATTAACATCAAGCGGCTCAAATAACAACTAAGCAAAAACTGTCATAACCAAAATCTACCCATTTATACAGATCAGTGTAAGATTGTAAGCGCTTACGAAGCGAAATGTAAGATTCGTTACAATATTCGGCCGTTAACAAAGTCTTAAACTATTGATATATTGAAAACATTGTTTTAAATTGCTCAACTTATGAAACAAGAGTGAAACAGAACGTTTCATTTATTTTATCTTAAAAACCTATATATTTTAACAAGTGTTAGGGCGGAAACGCACTTGCCAGTATAATGGAGTATAACCTGCATGCCAGTTACTGACAGATTGCCAACACATGCCAGTAAAATAGAATAGCTTGAATGCCAGTTATATTTGTGTAACATGCTTGTAGCTTGCATTCAAGTGTGCACTGGCAAGTTTATGATAGTACAATTTCACTGTCAAATACAACATTGTATAAAAGTAAGGTAGACAAAGTTAAAAAATTCAATCGACATCACCTGGATCTAGAAGAGAAGTATCTACTAAAGTTCTTGAGAAGTTATCCACTAGTTTTTCTTCCGCATCCAATTTATGGTCCTCCGAAGCCGGATATTGTACGTCATCTAAATCATTCGCAGAAGTAACAGAGTTTTGGTCACTCAAACTCAAACTGGAATCATTATCTTCGCCGTAACATCTACGTTTGTGATCTGACGGAAAATTGTGACAGGAATGTTCCACACGTATCGCTTGCATTGTGTTGCTGAATAATAAAACATAAATAAAAAACTGCGAGTGTGAATTAAACTATTTTTTTTATTCTATTTCTCATATCTACTATATGCTATTTGTGCCAATGTAAACCCTGTGACACTCGGAGAAAGAAGACAAATTGAATGACCTGAATGACCTCCCTTATCAAAATTGGCTTAGTTGTTTAGTCGCTGAGCTATCACAATGGTACTTACATTAAACAAACTTACACTCGCATGAAAAGCAACACTCTCTTTGAAAGTCAGGTAACCTTGCATATATGCCTTAAAATGAGTTTGTTAGAAGTGAATGACATAAATGTTGAAAAATTACAGTAGTCTTAGAATTAAAGAAAATAGATACCTTGTTTTCCTCAGTACAGGCCGATCCATCTCCATTTCAAGCTCCAAAGAGTACAGTTTAGCTAAAGATTCTAATTTCTCCTTTTCCTTGGGATCTTGCAGACTCGGTAGTTTCAGCTCAATTTGACAAGAGTCCTGAAGGAATTTAGACAACTGTTCATTAGCCGCACTCAATATAAGAAACCCGGGCCGTTCCTCCCTTATTCTCCTACACCCGGCCCTAATTTCTCTTATCTCTGCAACCGGTATATTACCCATAGAATGTTCACTGCAGTAATGATCACTTTGTGGTGATTTTTCACTTAAATTTAAATCGCTCGATGACGTTTTCTGTAGCGTAAAATTCGTCCGCGGCGTTTGATTGAAAGCCTCCTCGTTTTGCTCAGATTTCTCCACGAAAACCTGAAAGGACTGAAAAAACGTCTCATCCGCATTCTTTCCTGAAACCCCCGCATTCTTTATATCACTAAAACTAGAAAACGACGAATGCGGTTGCAAAATATCTCTATTCTCCTTTGACACTGTTTCATCTTCTAAATCGATTATAGTTTTAGAATCTGACATCATATCATCATCATTACCAGAATCGACTTTAGCTCTTTTCTTTTTGAATCGATTCTTACAATTATTCCAACCACTTTTTCCACTTATATTTTCTTTCTTCAACCGTTTAGGAGGTGGCATACTACCGACTGTTTTTGTGCAGTTATTATTGACTTTAGACGATTTGAATGTTAGACTCTTGTTGAACACTTTCAATTCTTCAATTCCAGGCCAATCTGTTAGTTCATCATCACCTTCTCTATCGCTGTCATTGGTGACCACTCCATCCGACTCACTACTGCTGAGTGAGCTACTTTCATTACCAGTGCAATCCATTCCGCTGTTGGAATCATCAAATTGTAACGGATTCCTTAGAGAATTTGGTGGATATGATTTGTTCAACATTTTTATCTTCCTCTGATATTTTCCATCTAAACAATTTTTACCAGTTGTATTAAAGAAGGGCGGTAGATCAGTTGCTATCCGATAGCCTGTCATTTTTGATAGTACTGGGGTACCATTTTTCGATGGATTTTTGTATACAAAGTTAAAACTTGAACTGCCCGGCAAGGAAGGTGTATTCGTGAATGTTGAACATTTCAGATCTTCTGTATTTTGAGATTTAAGAACAATTTTACCTGGTTGTAGGATAGAATCTCTCCGTTTCTTTTCCGAGTCATGTCTTTTGGATTTAAAGTCATTTTTGAAGAAAGCTGACTTCGATGAGCATCCTCCACTGAATGATCTTTCTCTCATTTCGCAAACATCGCCTTTATCTCTGTGAGACCATTTTCTTTTACCGCAGAACGCATTCCTACATATCAGAGAACAAAATATATTAATTTTAATTCATCTTTAAGAAATTGTAATTCAACATATTTACTATATCAAATTTTATTAATAAACAAAACATTTATGTTTACTAATTTCAATTTTGACCTTTGACTTTACGATAATAGTATTTTAATCCAATATGCAAAATACACATCACTATTAATTATTTAATATTATTTTATTAAAATTTATAAGTCATGATAGAAAAAGTATAATTATGTACTCACATTTCTGCTGAAGTTTTTAGTTTCCATAGCAGAACCATGAAAATGCATTCAGGTGGAAGAACCATTTTATATTAAACATATTTAAATGTATTTATACTAATTAATAATATAAATAAATACTTTATTGGTGAGCACATTTATTATTGTAATTTATACCAAATGACATGGTAATAAAAGTAAGGAGAAAGAAAAACTGGTAATATTAATAAAAATGTGACTATAATATACCTTTCTTGTTTATGTTTTCCGATGTGCATCAACGGAGATAATCCTGGTGTTTGTAATATTATTGTGGTTGGAGACGTGCTCAACTGAAAAATGTATTTAGTATTACTGTAAATAATATTATGTACTTATAGTTGAAAGATTATTGGAATTCTAATAGTTCATCAGTAAACAACAGTAAAGCACTAACCTCAGTTGTGACACTCAATATTTCAACAGGTGGTGACCTCTTCCCATCAATATACTCCACTGGCATCTTCTTATACTTTCTTTTCCTTCTAGCATTAGCGGGACGAGTGGGAGAGAAGTTTTCATTGAATGAGTCTGATTCAAAGTTGCCGATTTGGCAGTACTGTCTGGATTTCAGGTTGGCAGATTTATGTAGATTAAGATGAGGGTCATCAGAGTCAGACAGCGGTTGAGTGATGAGAGGCGCTTGTGGTGGGCTGCTGGAACTTCCATCTTCAACTAAACTCACAGTTACCGTGGCCGCTTTAAATAAATAATAAAATATTACATTTTTGTTTACATGATTGACACTTTTCCCCTTACATTTATTTTAATAAAAACATTTTATATGGCCAGAAATTGGCAACTAACAGT